AGTTCCACAGAAATAGACTACGAACGTGTCACTCGTTCTTTTCTGTATCCAATGACTTTATAATTAAATACTTTGAAATCAAGAACAATGAAAAATGTCACCATCATCGAAATCGTACGAATAATTTTTGCGTTAAAAACATGCATAACTTTCAAAGATTAATCTCATATTAAGCACAAACTCGATCAATAATGTTCATTTTTCTACTGTAAATACTAGATGACATGATGATTATTTTCATCCCGATCAAATCTTAGAAAGTCTATATTTTGACTATCTTTGATGAAAAAAGAAATCGTACGAATAATTTTTGCCGTCACTGTATATTAAATTATTTTCATTGTTAATTTTTTCGTTAAGAACATCATAAAGAAGAATATAATCAAGTATCAGAACAACAACGAAAACGACCAAAATTAGTCGATTCACGACCAGTTGAAATTGATGATGATGAAGAAGAAGATGGAGCTGAACGTAAAATTAATTATATTTTCTTCTTATCTATTTATTTATTTTTGATTATTAATAATTTTAGAAATTTTTGCTGATGAGAGTGATGAAGAAGAACAAGAGAATGAACATATGGATGATTATGATGAAGAAGAAATTGGTGAAGAAAGTGAAGAAATGGATGAAAGTGATGAAGTTGATGATGATGGTGATGATAATGATGGTAGATCAGAAATTAGTTCTGATGATGATGATGATAATGAAGAACATTTAATACGTACAAATGGTATTAATAAAATTAATCAACATTTAGGTATCTTTTTTTTCCTCAATGATAAATATTTTGAAAATAAAATTCATATTTAATTATATTTTACAAATATCATATCTTTTCATTTTATATTTTAGGTATTCCTCAATCAAATGTTGATCTACTTGGTATGGATGGTCCATCATCAGATTCATATCTTCAAACAATGAATGATAATATTCATAAAAAATTTCGTCGTCAAAATCATTTTGGTCATCATTATTCATCTTTAAATCCAATTTCAGGAAATTTTTCACATAATCAAATTTATCATCCTAATCAATTAAATGGTGATTATAAAAATAATATTAATAAATCAACAGTTGGTAATGGTCAAGTATTATCAAAAAATAATGGTAATAATAATAATAATGATGATGATGATGATATTGTATTAGTTAGTGATGATGATAGTGAAGATAAAAAATCAGAAACAAAAACAAATAGTATGTAATTTTGTAATAAATATTTTATTAGCAAAAATCTTTCATTCATCTAATAATTTAATCTTAATTTTGTTTTTTTCGTTTTAGACTTGTCAATTTCGGAACCAACTACATACGTATCTGATATACCAACAACATATGTTGAAACAGTTACAACAAAATCAATAACAACAACAACATTTATGACGAATGATGCTGTGTCTGCTAAAGATTTACTAGAAGATATCGATAGGGTACGATGTTGTTTGTTTCACAAGAACTATAGAAAATTTCTTTGGGAGAAAAATTAATTTTTCAATCTTATGCGATGGTAAAGTCTTTGAAAAAAAACCAAGCAATCTATCATGTTACAGTACTTTCTTGTTTAATCATTTTATTTTTCGAAAAAAAAAATATACTGAGGGTGGTAAATTTTAAGTGGAGATTTTGCGACTTCTCTCCTGATAGCAAAAAAAAACCGAGACGTCAGAATCCTTTCTCAGAGTTCGTTAGCAATAGAAAAAGATGTTGAATAGACTTAAACTATTCTGAAAAATTCCATAGTCTTCATCGAAATTTGAGTGACTGGAATATGTTTTATGTATATTTTAAATAGTGGATTTGTTGATTTTGATGTAAATAAAATATTATATTCAATAGATCAAAGATGATAGATATTCATGCATTGATTTAGCGAGTTTGTTGAAAACAAATGACAAAATAAGTTAAACAAATCAAAATATTTATTTTTTTTAAAGACTTTTACATTGCAAAGAGACAATTGAAAAACAAAAACACACGTTATAATCTATTTTATTATTTTAAACTGATGATAGCATGAACTATATTATTATTGTTTTATATTTGTTGTTTCGATTTCACTGACTTTTTTGCTTCTCCTTAGTATAGTCTTCATGCGGTAATGTCATCCGCATAGAGACATCATCTGTCGACAATTCTGCCACGTCATTAACTCTAGCTATTCAGGTATGCGCAGATGAAGAGAAGCATCTATATGTGTAAATAATCATTGGAAAATATAAATTCCTAGTGTATTTTTTTCTATTTGGTTAATTTGTTTTTTTTTTTTCTTTATATATATATATATAAAATATAAAATTTTATCTTTTCTTCAAAGGAAACAATGGAATCACTTCGTGATGCTGTTAATCTTGTTAGTGATGATTATGCAATATTCAATGATGAGCAGAATTAGACTATTAATAATAATAAAAAAAAAGGATATCAATTAAAAAGTTATGTTTATATCTTTTATTTTTGATGTATGTAAATCATTCTGAAACATACATCATATATTATTTCATTATGGTTATGTATATTGTGATGATAGAAGAAAAGAAACAAAGTTTTTTTTTTTGTGTGTGTTCACTTGTGTTCGTGATAGACTTTTCTTTCTTTCATTCATTTCCATTTGTCTTTAGCCGCTCAGCAATTCTTCATGTATTGTTGTTGTTCATCTTTGTCTGTTATTCATTTTTCTGCCTTTTTTTTTCTCATTTCTCTTGTTCTTCTTCTGCTTCTTTACTGTGTCAGACGGGTGAAAAGCAACGACAATAAAAAAAATACAGATAACTAAGTAAATAAATAAATAGAACGTGTAGAAATATAAAGAATATCACCGTTTGTGTTTTGTTTTATACTCGTGAAGGTAGTTTTTCAACTGATTAATCACTTTGAAATGCGAACTACATGTATCATGTAGACCCCCGAATGAGCTATGAATATCCTGAAAAGAGTTCAAGTCTTTAGCTTATTGCTGCTGAGATACTGTACTTTAACGGTAATTTTCGTAGAATACCGTAATTCCTTTCAGGAACACTAGGAAAATTCAACTTGAAACTTTGCACAGAGGCATATCTCAACTAAGATAGTTTATTATGAACGCTTTCTATGTTTTGGTTTACTCCTTTCCTGAAATAAGAATATCAGAGTAGCCAGTCCATATGAACAGTGTAAAAAAAACAAGTTTTTATCATAACTATATCTTAGGATAGGAATAACTAAAATATTTGAAACTTTTACAATAAACTATCGTTGCTGAGCTCAGTCTTTATAGAAAATTTCAAGTCGAAATTCGAAAATGAGTTTCCCTAGTGTTCCTAAGGAAGACCACGTCATTCAGAAAAAGATACCGTATCTCGGTAGCAATAGACTAAACGCCCACACTCGTTTCAATGTATGCATTGCTCATTAGGATCTACGTGAACTACCTAGTCTCGACTCAAAAGCGGTTAATCAATTTGGAAGACTTCTCTCGTCAGACTTATTATGAATTACTAAGTTCATTATGGATCATTTTAAGTCTGAGAAAGGAAAATTAAAAAAAAAACCAATTTTATAATCTATTTTATTTCTTTATTACTTTTGATGATATCACTAATCAGACGTTTGCACGGTTTTCGACGAACAATGTCAAATACTAGTACAATAAAAATTGGCACACATAATGGACATTTTCATTGTGATGAAATATTTGCTTGTTTTTTATTGAAAAATTTACCTCGTTATGCTAATGCAGAAATTATCAGGTTAGTGTAAATCATTTCGAAGATTTTTATATTGTTTTCAATAATTAAATTGAAATTTACATTACTTCGGAAAAGAATTTGTTCTTTGTTGTAATTCATATGAACGAATTATGATCAAAATAATGAACACTATTTATATCTAATTCTTTAGTATCTATGAAGGAAGATATTACTATTACGAAATAAATCATATTCTTGCAGCTGGAATTTTCGAATTCATGAATAATGGTGATAGAAAATTATTTTTAGTTCTATACTGACAAAAAATTGTTAAGTTTGAAATCCAAACAGACCGATCACATTCATGTTGAGGAATAAGACATACAAGAGAATCACTAAAAACATATCTTTCTCCGAAATAGGTAATAATAAATTTGATATCAATAGTTTTCTCTCTCTATGTTCAAGCGGCAAGTGATTTTATGGGAAAAAGAAGATTGATTGAGTTTCTTGTTACATTTTTTCTTGAGTTAGAATCATTTTATTGAATTTCTGGCGTAGTGCAAATTATGTCATAGAAAAAAAGCTCAGATGATTTCTATAATACAATGAAACTTTCAGTTTGAATCAATGCTTTCATCTGAAGATGTCAATCATACACATATTTTACAGAGCATCGAGAAAATTCAAATATTCTTGCAAAGATATTAATATTTCAGAAAGAAAATATTCATTCTAATCAAAGTTTTCAATGTATAATAGAAGTCATAAGACGTTGTTACAAGCAATGCTTCAAGTCGAAATTATGATATTGTCTGCACTACATCATACATTTGATATATCGATTATAACTTGAAAAGAATGTATCATTCAAAGTTTTACTTAATATCAATAAACTTATTCTAATGATACAAGTTTAAAAGTATTTTTTTGATTATTTGTAGAAATTCTCTCGTTAGATATAAAGTCATTTTGTAAATATCTATTTTATGTGAATTATTATATGATATAATCGAAGAATATATTTCAAGCTTATTCTTCAACAAAATGTTCAATAAATATCTATTCGATCATGTATTTTAACTTGTCATATTTGAGAAGAATAAATATAAGACTTTATTTTTTTTTCTACGAGTGTCGGCTTAACATTAGTATGACGAAAATGCTAATACTTTTTGCATTAGGTTAAAAATTTAACTCAATGTTCTTGTGTTAGAATTAAAAAATTAATTTAATAATTTGGCATTAGTATTAAAAAAGTATTAATCTAATACTAATGCCTATAGTTCCCGAAAACAGAACAAAATTGCTCCATTATGGTATTTTTTTTCCTAAAACAGAACACTTTTGCCCTTTTATTGGAAACAGCTTTCCATAATGGAACAAAAGTGCTCTGTTTTGGGAAAAAAATACCATAACGGAGCAATTTTGTTCTGTTTTCGGGAACTATAGGCATTTGTATTAGACTAATACTTTTTTAATACTAATGTCAAAGCATTAAATTAATTTTTTAATTCTAATACTAAGCCGACACGCCTAAATTTTTTTCTAAACGATTTTATTTGTCGAGTTTTAATAAGAATTTTCTTTTTCAAGAACTCGTGATCCAAAGATATTAGCCGAATGTGATACTATTGTTGATGTTGGTGGTATATTCAATGCCGAACAAAGACGATTTGATCATCATCAAAAGTATATATACATTTTTTTAAATTAATCTAAACATTTTATTCTGACTAATTCACTTATATATATATATATAGATCATTTACTGATACATTTCATTCTTTACAACCGGATAAACCATGGACAATAAGATTATCAAGTGCCGGTTTAATTTATGTTCATTATGGACGAGAAATAATAAAAGAATTATTAAAAAAAGAAGCTATTGATGAGAATGTTCAAGGTCATTTAACTGAAATTTTATATGATAAATTATATGAAACATTTGTACAAGAAATTGATGCTATTGATAATGGAGTTGATATTGGTGAAAATATGAAGTAAATATTCACTTTTTTTTTTACATAAGGAATTCTTTTATTACAACGAACGTTTTTTTTTTGTTATTTCATCGTTTAGATACAAAATTCATACAAATTTGAGTACACGTGTTGGTTATTTCAATCCGGCTTGGAATGATCCAAATCCTGTCGAAAAAGAAGAAGTAAGTTATGTTAAATAAATCTTATACAAATGTTTATATTGATAAAATCAAAAATTTTTATTTTTAGATTGGATTTAAACAAGCTATGGAAATGATTGGAAAAGAATTTCTTGATAAATTTTATTATTATACTCGTCAATGGTGGCCAGCACGAGCATTACTTGAAAAAGCAATTGCTCAACGTTTTGATGTAAAATTTTATAAATCAAAAAAAAAAAAAAAGTTTCATTCATTTATTCATATTTCTAGATTGATCCATCCGGTTCAATACTTATTTTAAATAATTCATTTCCATGGCGTGATCATTTATTTGATATTGAACAAGAACAAAAAGAAATTCTTGGTGATACAATTAAATATGTTCTTTATCCTGATTCCAATAAAACTTGGCGTATACAAGCTGTTCCATTAAATAAAACATCATTTGAAAATCGTTTATCATTACCTAAACAATGGCAAGGTTTACGTGATGATGAATTAAGTACTAAATCTAATATACCAGGATGTATATTTGTACATGCATCTGGTTTTATTGGTGGAAATGCAACTTATGATGGTGTTTTAGCTATGGCACGACGTTCACTTCAATTAGGAAATACAAAGGAATGAAAAAAATAAATAGAAAATCAAAAGAATAAGACACTTATTTTTTTTTTTAAATCTCAATTGAAGCAAAATAAAACACAAAAACAAACGCTTGACAACATATACACTATAACTAATAAAGACATACATAATATATATTTATCTCTATATTAGCATTCATTCTTGGATTTGTTTCAATCTAGAATGCGTCTAGATCAATCTAAGATTAAACGTAAATCTGAATTTAAATACTAACATAGATATATATCCGTATACACAAGACGAAAATGATTTTCTACAGGTTTTTATTCTTCAAGTCTAATACTTATGATTAGATGGAACTCAATAATATTTTAATGAAAAGGTCATATTATTCTTTTTAAATACATATATTAAATAAAAAGGTAACACCGGGTGTTTTGTTTTTGTTTTTCTTATTAAACCAATGATTGACCATGTGGTTGAGTATAACCATCTTTATTTATTGTTGTTATATGATTTGATCGTTTTCGATATGCATGACGTGCATATGTTTGGCATGTAAGAATAAGATAAATAAATGTAATTAAAGCAAGCATTATTGATATTGTTATCCAACTAATAAATCGACTTTTTTCTATTCGTCTTTCACGATATTCAGCCGGAATATAATTTGTTTGATTAATCATATAACCAAGTGTCCAACCAACATTACCTGTTGGGAATGTCTTTGCAAAACTTACATGTTTTAAACCATTTTCTGTAAAACCAATACCACGTGTTAATAAAAGCCATACAAACCAAGCATCAAAACATAAACCTCGTTTATGTTGTTCATTAGATGGAGTCATAGCTTCTTGTTGATAAAATATTTTATATTCTGTCTCACACTAGAATAAAATTATTTATTTTATATTAATTGTTTATTGTTTATAATTGATATCATACTTACAACATTAATCATACGTTTGTGTATTTCTCTTAAAGGAAAATCTTTCATTTTATATCGTTCACCTGTTGATCCATTTGGTTTTGACATACCTATAAGAAATAATATTTGAAATTTTTTTTTTTTATAAATATATATATATGTCAATACCATGAGCTAGATTATCAAATACATAATAATAACCAGAAAGACCAATAAAACCCATTTTGTCTGGTAATTTTGGTTGAAATGTATTATCAAATGTACAATATTCTTGTTTAAATGAGCAATTCACTATTCTATCATTACGTTTAGCATCAAATAAATTTATAATATGTTGACGACATTTACTAGCACTTCCCTCACCAATAAATGAAACGAATGATATATTAATACTATTATTATTAAATTGTTGTTTTTCATTCGCTGTACATGGTGAATCAAAGAGAAATGCTGGTACTATTGTATCATTAGTACCACGAGGTAAACATGGATCACGTATAACAATAGGTGATGATGTTGGTAAATATATAGGATTGACATTTAATGCAGCATTAAGAAGACGAGCTCGATGTCGTCTAAATGCTACATTTTTACCCCAACATAAATAGCTATGAGCATATGGACTATAAACTGAATCGAATAAAGTTAGATTTGTTGTATATTCAGATGGAATTGGATCATCATCAATATTACGTTTATCTAGGAAAGCAAGATATAGATTTGTTTGTTTGTTGATTTGTTTTTCTAATAGAGATTATTCAAACAACTCACAACTAAATGTTACTTGTGTTGATGCTCCACCTAAATCAAGTACACCGACCATATATGGATCAAGTTCATCTGGTGAAGTTATTGTTCCTGATTGTTTCTTATGTTCATGACGATGTTTAAATTTTTCTAATAGAATATTAGTAGTTATCCAACCATCAATAGCTTCTTCCATACCAGTCAATATTCGTACCTATATAAATTAAAATTAATAATTATTTTCTTGAATGATGATTAGAACGAGACTTCTTATATGTTCATGTTTCTTCTTAATATCTTAATGAAACAGTAAATAAATGAGTGCCAAATTAAATGATTGAGTAGATACACATCTTGTCTATTTATTGGTGGATGACTTTTTTGTTTTGTTAGAAAGCTTAAAAATAATCGAATTATGAGCAATAGAATGAAGATGCTTGATTGCATTCTAAATAATTGCAATATCCGCAATAAGAATACTAATGCAAAAGTTACATCAAATTAGAATGGATCACTATCAATATATAGAAGTGTGCACTCCTATATATAGACAGTGATCCATTCTAATTTAGTGCAACTTTTGTATTAGTGTTCTTATTGCGGATATTGCAATTATTTAGAATGCAATCAACCGATTTCATTCTACCACTCGTAACTCAGTTATTTTTAATGTTTCTAAAAAAAAAAAAAGTCATTCACCAATAAGTAGATAAGGCATGCACCTAATCAGTCATTAACTTTGAACTCGTTTGTTTGCTATTTTGGTAACGAGGGAAGTTCGTCAACTAATTAGCCACTGTAGAATCGGTACTCTGTGTAAAATATAGACCCTAATGAGTTATAAATATCTTGGAAAGACTTTGGACTCTTTAGTTAATTGCAGCGAAAATATCGTATTTGTACAATACTTTTTAAATGATTGCTGTAATCTTGTTCAGATATATCGGAAAAAAAAACTGATTTTCGAATTTTGACTTGAAACTTCACATAGAGACGTGCCTTAATGAAAATAGCTTATTGTAAAAATTTCAGATCTTTTTATTATTCCACGACTATAATAAAAGTGTGTCTTTTACATCACTGATATATATCAGCAGATTCTGATGTTCTTATTTCAAGATAGAAGCAAATAAAACGATTTAAAACTTTCCCAAAAAAAGAAAACATTTCCATTAAGGTCTGTCCCTATAACTAAGTTTCAAGTCAAAATTCAATAGTTACTTTTTCTAGTATTTCTCAGAGGGAAACTATGACATACAGTAAAAAATATCGTAAAAATGCAATATTCTGGTAACAATCATGAAATAAGAGCTCGAGCACTTTTCAAAATATTCATAGTTCATTAGAATCTATATGATACATATAATCTTGATTCAAAAACAATTAATCAGTTAGAAGAGTTTTCTTTTAAGATATTAAAAACGAAGCATGAACATATAAAAAGCTCATTCTAATTAGGAATAAGCCCTGTTTATATTTTCATATCTATTAATATATCGTACGTAATTTAAAAGATAAGGAAATATGTTTTCAATAGTTTTACTCGTTGATAGATATATATATATATATATAAGAGATAGCTTGTGTCTGGAAGTCTTTTTTGCTTTATATCATCAACATTTGTACACAAAGAATAACGTTTCCTTCTAATAATATAACGTATATATATTCCCTGTTGATTAGTGGTTTTCTAATGTTTATAGTTAAAATACGATAGAGTATATATGTAATCAAGATTTTAATATATTTGATCATAAAATAGTTCTTTTATTTATTTTTCATTCTATTAAAAACAAATATAAACTTACTTGTCGTGCAGTAACAAATTGGAATGGATAATTTAAAAATATTTCACGTATTGTTTCAAGTATATGATTTGATCGTGTTCTATTACGTAAACGTACTAAACGCATACCTGCCGTTGCACCAAGAAAAATTGGTGAAAATTTATGACGATTGGATGGTATTTTTGCTACTGCTTCATTTAAACAAGGTGCAAAATAATCATCTAATAAATCAAGATATTGCTCAAAATCAGATATAGCCTTAAGTTTCATGGAACTGTTGACTTTTATTGGATCACTAACAAATAATGATGCGAGTGGACAAACAAAATATTGACTGACTGATGATGTTGTACCTAAACCTTCTGATTTATCAGCAGGCCAATTATAAACAAACATTTCCGTATGAGAACTTCCAGCATCAAAAACAATAGCATAATTAATAAGTGGTGCAAGACGAGCTCGATATATAACTGTCAAATATGTAGCAATTGTGACAGAAAATAAAAACAGAGTAATTGCTATTCCTTGAGTAAAGCTGACAATAGAACGAATACGATTTTTACGTTTTTGTTTTTGTTGTTGATCATCCATATGTATTGCTTAATCAATTTATAATATGGACGAGTATTTTAAATAAAGATTCTCTTTTGTCTCTAGAATATGAGCCATTAGAAAATATAAAAGATGAATAAAAAAAAATATAATGATACAGATATATACGTATACATATATATATCAACTTGTATCCAATTGTAATAAATATTCTTACCACTAATCGATTGTTGTCATATACTAGAGAAAGTGGACATAAATCACAAAAAAAATCAGATTAGATGTGTATGTGTTTGTGTCTGTGTACTAAACGTAATAAATAAAATATTTATGATATTCTACATAGGATGGTATTGGAATGGTAATTGAAGATAGTTATCTATATCAAATACAAGTTGATTTTAACGACTTATGATAATATCGATGAAGAAGATACGTGTATATTTAGATACATATACATACATACATAAGTAAGTATTCTTCTCGAACTACAGTCTTATCCGTCTTGTTTTTCCGGTCTTTATTATTGTCTGTGCAAGTAGTACGATATTACATACAAGTCGACAACATGTACTTCTCTTTTTTTTTTCTTCGCTTTTTCTCATGTTTGCTTTCATTCTTTTTTTCTATCTATCCATAATAAGAATAAGTCGTAATGAATTCAAATTTGTTACATTTATATCGATCTTATAATGTAAAATCAATAGGAAAAATATTTAATAACTTACATTTGACACTCACTGAAAGATTCAATAGAATAAATATGATATAGTCTGCTTTCACTCGTTCTTTTTTTTTCTTCTGTTTCTGTTCTATTTACAACTTACGTCGGAAATAAAATCAATAGAAGACTTTAAAACCTCAGGTAATGAGTATAGTAATGCTTATCTTTCTTACTTACTTACTTACCTACCTACAGTCAACTTTTTTTCTTTTTCTTTTCATGGTTAGTTGAATACGAACAAATAAAACCTTTCTAGATAAAGATAAATGCTCATGACTTTTTTTTCTTCTGCTCGTGTTATTTTTTTATATACATTTTCCCTAGTTTATTCACATTCTGACATAGGGGAAATCTTACAACGTAACTATGCTCAAGAAAGTCCCTTTAACATATTATTGAAAACGATCAACAGCAGAAGTATTTTTTTTTTCATTTGATGAATATTATCTACATAAAGAAACCGTTGATTTTCCTTTTTCGTGAACTTATTCATTTAAATGCATACTCTGAACATGAACAGAAAAAAATAGAAGACACAATAAAAATAACTGATGAAATAATTAATTTCTTTGGTGTGAGCCTTTTCAAATGCCAATTCGATTCAGTCACACATATAAATAAGAGACATGTATAGAGAAGTGTATAGAGACACATACCCAAATTTATATATAATTCAGATACTACATCTGAAAATGAAGGGCGGTACGAAGTCGATGAGACCGCCATTATCATGATTATCGAATAAACAACCATCAGGATTGATTACCATAAGACTCCTTAGGGCTTGGCGAAAGGTGAGTGTCAGCAGTAGTGAAGATTCTAATGGTTGATTGACATGGGACATTGTGTAGTGCCAATTTTGTTAAAACACAATGTCATACATTAACAATGACTATTTTGACATTGTTTGAAACATTGTTAATTTAGTATAGTGTATATTAAGAATGTGACAAGTATATCGAATAATGATTATTAATTATCAAATAGAAATGTGAAAGTTTTATGTTCATTCTCAATGTATCCTTATAAATAGAATAGCACTTAGGTATATCAAATAAAAATAAAAAATAATTTATAGTCTATACGATTTTCTATTTGTTTCTCTCTTTCTGAGATAAGGAAAAAAAACGCAAAATATTGTCATTTACGTTTTTTTTCTCTTTTCTTTATCTTTCTTTTCTAACTAATTAGATTATAGAGAAATTTTCAATCAATATAACGGCAAAAAGAAAAAAAAATACAATATTCTATAAATTCCCTAATTACAATCACAAATATATATATATATATATCGAAATAGAGTACTAATCAATACACACAATCAAATATTTATTTCATAGGTCATACCTGAAATGAATACTATATCTATGTAAGTCGTGACATTGATGTTTTAATACAATTGGAAATTGTTTTTATTTTATTTTTTTTTTTTGTTATTAATGATCAAATTACACTTTTCGTATACGCAATTATAAAAATCTAGAATTTCATCTAAAATTAATAAAAACAAAAAGATCTCATTTTTCAACAACTATATCAAGAAGCATCATCAACTATCAAAACCATAAAAAAAGATCAATGATTATGTCTACCAACTGTATAAATAGAACATTTGATGTATAACCAAAGCATATACAATCCATGAGCTATGATTGATGAATGTTGACAATTAACTAATGGGCAATATATATATATCATCAGTTATATCGAGGATATTTTCAACGGTATTACATTTCAGATAATTAAAAATACTGGAACAGATTAAATTTCTTTCCGATTGTTTGTTTTGAATTATTGAAAATAAAATCTATATAAAACATAGAATTGTTTCATTTCAATATTGATATATGTCACTCAATTTGTTTATCATACTAAAAAAAAAGATTAAATTCAAAAATATATATATATATATTAATAGAATGTTTTCTTTTATTCTCGTCAAATAATCTTCTTTCTAATTATATATGTCATCTCGAAGAAAGACATTCGTTAGGTTAAACGATTGATTGGATATATCATATGTTTTTTATTATAAGTAATGGTAGGACAACTACCCTAGGTATGATTGATTGATATGTTACTCATTCATATATATATATATATATATCTATGTATGTTGAAAATTGACTGTTACACGATACTGTCTCATGCTCAAGTCAATAATGACATATTGAGGTTGATCAGGAAAGTATAAATGTCAAAAATTAAGCAAAACAAAAGATTCTTAAATGGCTTATTAAGAAAGTCATAGAGTAAAAGATTTTTATGGTGCGAAAAGTTTATATATAATAATATAGATCTAAGGAATATTATATCATGACATTTACTGCATAATTATATTCCATTTATTCAGTTTGTTTTTCCCAAACTGACGAAAAAAAAAATAAACAATTCAATCTAATTTTTGTAATAAATACATTTTTTCAATACAATAATATCGATAAAGAGCATACAAATTTATTATAGTACTATACGATAATGAGCTGTTTGAGAACACTGTTTCTTTCTATAGAAATAATAATTCAAATATGTTTTTCCTAAGTAAACTAATAAAAGTAGTAGATGACTTGTTGTAACATTAATTCTTTGAAGACATACATCATGAAGAAAAGAAAGAAAAAAAAAGTACATTGAAAGCTTTTAAAATTTCAATAATGTAGACTGACAAGGCAAATTTTATTTAATCAAGAAGAAAAAAAAAAGAAATTGTTTTGTAAGTCAAAAACTTTTTCAAATCAAATTTATTACTAGATCTTCGATCTTCTAAACTATTGAGATAGATCAATTCTTATTAAAGGAATTGATCTATCTCAAAAGTTCTTTTGAGTAATTCATACGAAGAGTTGTCATAGGCTTAGACATAATTTGCAGAATGAATATTAACTATGCGTGAATACAAAAGAAAAATACATTTATGTATTAATTTAGGGCATATGTGTGAAAACATTTTTGTATATCAGTAAAATGAAACACCTAATACTTCAACACATCTAATGTTTTTTATTTCGTCTATATTTAATGTTAACAGAAAAATATTTCAATATATTTGAGAATGTTTTAAATATTAAAATAGAAAATTACTTCAAATCAATATGATTAATAATGTAATATATGGTATGACGATGATGATATTTCTTATAATAAGGCTATCAAAATTATTCAATCAGATTTATTTTCAATTATTTTCCGATGTTTTGAACGCTATGAACAATGTAAGGTGCTCGCATCGCAAAAATCAAGTGAAATTTTTGTTTCGAATTTTTTAAATATCATTTGATAGAGCTTGAGCTGCTAATTACGAAAAACTACTTTTAAGCCTAAGTGAATGTTTTCTTCCAGTCGAATAACACGAAATACTCGAAGGATATCGTTTTCTTCAAAAAATACATTTTTTTCAAAATATGGGAAAATTTTCTATCTTTCGACTTCTGGAGATAATTTTTTCAAATGCAGCATCAAAAATTGAGTACGGACAAGTTATTAAATCGGCTCAAGACCGCAAACTCTAATAGTGGTAGCTCTTCGAACCGTGTTCAGTGAGATACGTATAGGCCGATTTTGTAAACCTATCTAGTTTTTTTCACGTAAGCGATGAAGTGAGGTATTTTATCTCATTCAATTCATCATACCATCAGTCACAAAGTTACGTACCGTTTTTTTTATTGCCTTTTATTTTATTCGCCGAGAAAAATCATGTTTACTGCGTTTTGGTCCAAATAGCTAGATTTCTGCTTGTAACTCTCAATTTTCTTCGTCAAAAATTGGACTTTATATAAAAAGATTATCATATCTGGAATCAGCGTAAAAAATCGAGTCGATTGATATATATTTTAATTGTTTCTAATGAATTCAGTTTTTTTTCGAGTTTTCATCTGTTACGGTGGCTGAAAATTTCACCAAAAAATCAAACATGATTAAAAGTGTGGAAACATACATTAATCGACTCGATTTTTTATGCTGATTCCGAATATGATAGTTTTTTTAAATATAAAGTCTAATTTTTGACGAAGAAAATTGAGAATTACGAGCAGAAATCTACGTATTTGGGCCAAAACATAATAAACGTAATTTTTCTTGACGAAGAAAAGAAAAGGAAAAAAAGGGTACGTAACTGTATGAATGATAGAATGATGAGTCGAATGAGATAATATATTTCACTTCATCGCTTACGTGACAAAACAAGATAGGTTTACAAAATCGACCTATACGTATCTCATTCGACGCGATTCGAAGCGTCATCACCAATCGAGTTTGAAGTTCTGAGTCGATTTAACAACTTGCCCGTACTCAATTTTTGATGCTGCATCTGAAAAAATTATCTCCAGAAATCGAACGATAGAAAGTTTCTCATATTTTGAAAAAGATGTATTTTTTGAAGAAAACGACATCCTTCGAGTATTTCGTATTTTTCGACTGGAAGAAAATATTCACTTAGCCTTAAAAGTCGTTTTTCGTGATCACCAGCTCAAGCGCTATCAAATGATGTAGAAAAAAGGTCGAAAAAAAAAATTTCACTTGAAGTTTGAATTGCTTGCACCTTAAATATAATGAATCAAGAAGTAAAAATTGTTTGTAATAAGAATAAAAGAAAATAAAATCGATATTCTCAAAACATAAGATCTCTTGCAAATCTTAAACGTGATTTTCTAGCATAAAAAAAAAGCATAAATATGAGTAAATAAGATGATAGAGAAAATAGATTTCCTGGAAATTAGATGTTTCCGAGTTATCTATGACCTGTTTTGATTGAGATGCAGCAATCTTGTGGAGAATTCACAAATAATTTGTCTCTAGGGAATAGTACAAAAAAAACCGAACTTTAAGATCTTCCGTTAGGTTTTTTATCTTAGGCAACGTACATCGACGAGAACTCGGAAATAACTCATTTTCTAAAAATTATTTCTTTCATTGCTTAAGATATTCTAAATAAAATGATATTTGAGTATTTTTCAGACACTGAAAAATTAGAATTTAGAATTTTTTGAAGATTTCATACGGGCAAATCTATAAGACGTTACGAAATGATAGGTGAATCGATCGTATACAAACAAACTTCGAAAGCTATTAAACAAACTATATACATTTAATCATTTTTCTATTCCTAGAAATCTTTATTTACTATTTCTTTTTTTTCACATTGTTCGAATTGCTAAAGCTATTTTAATCTTAAAATCATAAATCATCATTTCATAGGCATTTGTTTTGGTATGTCTTCGCAAGAAAAAAAAAACCGCAGGACATCAAATTAAAAATAAATATCGTCTCTATGTATTACTGCTAATATACAAATAATTGCAATTTCAAAACACATTTGTTGATTATGTTTAATCAATAATGAAGTTATATAAAAAAAAAAAAAGAAACCTTTCGAGCACTTTGTACTAACTTCTACTTGAATTATTTGACTGTCTTTTTTTTGGTGTTTAAGACAGTTGAAAAAAAGAACTCGAAAATAAATTTAACAGCTATTGCACATAGTATAGTCCATATCTTATGTCAACAAATCCAGACCGATCTAATAAAAAAGAAACTTACTAGATTATTGTTTTTTGTTGTCACAACAAACTTCGTATGAGGCATTTATGTTTGTGTATAATCGAATCAATACAACATAGTAAACGACCTTGTACGTACACTTGAAACAAGTATTTATATCCGAAAAAAAGAGCAAGATTATTGTCATCATTCATACTTTGAATCTCGATAAAAATAAAAAGCGGATGTATCATTCAATATATTGAATTTAGATTTTTATTTTAATTAATTGAAAAAGAAAATATAGAGAAAGAAATTTCTATTAAGACGTTTTTAACAATAATAATACAAAAATTTGTTTTAGAATAACATACATCAAATATTTGATTTTTTTTTGATACTTTTGTCATTGTTATTCTTTTATAAATTATTATTACGAACTTTATTTTAAGAAACAATCCATAGAAAAAAAAATATGAGTACAAATGACTGAAAGTTATTACTTGCATAAAAATAATACGTGACTAATATAATTGAACAATTTAGTAAACATAATTAGTTTTTTACTCACGTTTATTGGTTTTTATATGATTATAGCATATAAGCCAAATTTTAAAAACAACTTTGTTGATAATAAATTTGTTGAGAATTCTTACTAATGAATAATCAAACGAACTAGTAAGATTAATATCGAGGTAAACTCAATCTTGATTTAAACAAGTTTTAGCTTAAGAATCATATGGGAAATATGTTTCTTTTGAAGTTATTATTCATCCAAGTCGAACAAGCACGTTCGTAAACGATCGTATAGGGAGAAATACGACCAAATACATGGCTCAGTATTACGATTGTAAATCTCCGTGTCGTATACGGAGTAATACGGTTATATACGGTCGTTTACGATTTTCGTGTACGCAGTTCGTATATGGTGATTGGTATACTCCGTATTTCTCCGTAAACGATCGTATCGCAGCGTATACGGTCATGACGATATACAATTGTAATACTGAGTCATGTATTGCGGTAAAATACGACCGTAAACAATCGTATGGAGGTCGTATACGAAGTCTGTAATCGTTGACGTGGGTCGCCTCTTTTTTTTTGTTCTAAGTTTATTCTAACAAAAATTCAAATGATTTTAAAATTTTTGTCAAATGTCATTAGTAACTCTTTAGCAATTTTATCTTACCTTATCTACATGTGGCATAAATGAAGAAAAACATCAACAGATTTCTTTTTATCATCTTGGCATTAACACTCATACTAGAAGACTGCGCTCATGTTATTTAACTCCATGCTATAATAATACAGACTGATATACCATAATACTATATCTCATATATAGTTGATGATTTATATACAATACATCTCAAGAGATTCATTGCGTGAGAAAAAATAAAAATAATAACATTTACATGCATGAACTTAGAATCTATATCGCGGGAAAGATAATTGTTACGTGATCAAATTAAGTATTGGTTTGATAATAGATATTTCAATTGATAATCTTTGTTTCAAGTAAAAAAAACCAAAAATTTTTTTCCCTAATATAATTAGTCTTCGTTTTCTCTTGAAAAACAACAATCATACAAAAAAAAATAAAATTTCTTTCATTAAAAAGTTTATCAGAAGAGTCTATTAATGTTTTACAAATTGTAATACTGTTATATGTAGACCTCTATATTAGCCGAGACTTGTACTAACATTTGTCATTTGTCTACCATTATAACCAATCGTAGCTGATCTTTTTATAAAAAGGTCATTAGACAAACTCTATATTATACATACGAATAAATTATTATTTCTATTTTTTAAAAGAGAATTTTTTGATTGAAATTATTTTATTAAAAAAATAAATAAATAATTGATATAAATATATATATAAAAATTTTTTGATAGATGATGACTCATCTTCGCCATTCTTTTCTTTTTTTTTTTTTGCATTTATTTGTTCTGTTGTTAATGATGCTTTCTCCTCCCTCCTACACTTTATGCCACGTCGTATTTTATTTTCAATATCTTACTTCTCTTTTTATAGTTTAGATGAGCCTTTTTTTTTTTACTATTATACCAATCAAAATGTTAGCATGTAACTATAACCTATCGACCAGCTTTAAGGGTATCTATAATATTTATTTTTCATAGTATTAAAAAAAACAACAACAAACAAACAAACTAATCATTAACTAACGTTAGTATTTTGTAAATTTAATTCGACTAATAATATTTAAATAGATAGTATAATAAAATTTTTTTTGTTTGTTTTTTTTCTTTAAATTATTCAAACTATTATCTATTCAAAGAAATATATGTTAATTTCAAATAGGTCAATGAGTGAATATATTTAACACATCTTAAAAAATAAACGATGTAAATTAATAATTAAATCCTAAAGTTTTCAAATATAAAAATTGAATTCGATAAAATACATACTTTTTTTTAAATTTTTTATTATTAATGTCTATTATTAAACTAACACGTAGAGTTATTAAATGTAAAAGTTTTGTGAATAAATGTTTTTCTTTCTTAAAAAAAAAATGCTTTTATACTCATCGAAATGCTATATTTTCAAGTATATATATATATATAAAATTGTCGATGTCTAGGTCTATTTTTCTCTATTGTTAAGTTATTACAAAAAAAAAAAAAAAAAAAGAAAGTATACGTCCGACCATTTCTTATTTAAATACATATTAATAAATCAAAATTTTATGAATTTTTAAGATTATTATTATTATTATTATTATTTTAAAAATAAATAAATATGGGTTTGACAATTTCATCACTTTTTCAACAATTATTTGGCAAAAAACAAATGCGTATTTTAATGGTTGGTCTTGATGCAGCTGGTGAATTTAATTATAATGAATTTTATAAATGATAATTATATATATATATATATTTTTTTTTTCCTTAGGTAAAACAACAATACTCTATAAACTTAAATTAGGTGAAATTGTAACAACAATTCCAACAATTGGTGTGTAGTGGTTTTTCTTTTTGTCTTGAAATATGCATATTTTTTTTATTGATAGGTTTTAATGTTGAAACAGTTGAATATAAAAATATTAGTTTTACTGTTTGGGATGTTGGTGGCCAAGTAAGTAACTAAGCAAGACATGTATGTTTTTTTTCTTCTATTGTTTATATTTATCAAGGATAAAATTCGTCCATTATGGAGACATTATTTTCAAAATACTCAAGGTAAAAAAAATAATGTTTTTTTCTTTTTTTTCTTTTCTAATAGAAAATTTTTAGGTCTTATTTTTGTTGTCGATAGCAATGATCGTGAACGTATTGGTGAAGCACGTGAAGAACTTCAACGAATGCTTTCCGAAGATGAACTTCGAGATGCTACTTTACTTATTTTTGCTAATAAACAAGTAATATAAAAATGATGATATAATCAAAAGACAAAAAAAAAAATCTTCTTCATTTTTTTTTCTTTTTAATTATCATAGGATTTACCAAATGCAATGAATGCAGCCGAAATAACAGATAAATTAGGTCTTCATTCATTACGTAATCGTAATTGGTATATTCAAGCAGCATGTGCCACAAGTGGTGATGGTCTTTATGAAGGTCTTGATTGGTTATCGAATCAATTAAAAAATGTGAAATAAACATTTCAATGAAATAAATATAAACGATAAAAGAACTTTCATAAATATATATATATACATACATATATATATATATTCCATAAATTTTTTTTTTTGTTCTCTTAGTTCTTGTGCTTGTTGTTTTATCATAATAAACAAAACAAAAAAAGACAAAACGAGAATAAGTTTCTCATTTTATTTCTTTGCTTAACATTTATTTATTTGTCAGTGCACATTACTAACTACTGTTGTTACCTTTGTTTTTTTGGTTTAGTTTCTTATTTATTGGGTCACATATCTTTTTACAGTTGACTACTTTTTTTTTTCTTTATGCACTTGTTTCTTTCATATTTGTCTTATTTCTCAAGTTAAAAAAATAAAACGAACATGCCTATGTATATGGATGTAACCGTAGTATTATATATTGAATTTTCATTTGTTTTTTTGAGATATGTCTGAATTAGATATTAAAAAATTTGATCTATGTATTGTTGGCAGTTGTAATGTTGATTTAATCAGGTAAAATATGATTACTTCAATATATAAAAGCGTTAATTTCTTGATAAAGTTATGTTGATCGTACACCTAAGATTGGTGAAACAATTGAAGGTAATAAATTTGAAAAAGGTTTTGGTGGTAAAGGAGCTAATCAATGTGTACAAGCTGCTAAATTAGGTGGAAAAGTAGCCATGATTGGCAAAGTAAAACAATGATGATATCAAGAAGTAAAAAAACAAAAACATTTCATTTTTTTTATTATCTTATAGCTTGGTGATGATGTTTTCGGCAAAGAATATCTTGATAATTTAAAAAAATTAGGAATTAATACTGGTAACAAAAAAAAACATACTGAGACAAAAAAAAGAGATTTTCTCTTATTGTTTTATGTATCTAAATAGATCATGTTAGTATAACAAATGAAGCAGCTACTGGTGTTGCTCCAATTATTGTTGATAAAGAAGGTTTATAACTTTTTCTTTTTTTTTTGTTTTCATATATATATTTATTTATTAGTTAATTAATTATATCTCTAGGACAAAATTCAATTATTGTTATACTTGGTGCTAATTTATTACTTAATGAAGATGATATAAAAAAAGCTGAAAATATTATTCGACAATCAAAAGTTGTTGTTTGTCAACTTGAAATTCGACAAGAAACAGTTGCTAAAACATTTGAAATTGCACGAAAATATTCTGGTAAATATAAATATTTAATAATTCATTTTTTTAAAAATTTTTTTTTTTATAGTTTTAACAATTTTAAATCCTGCACCAATGTCAGGAAAATTAAATCAAGATTTATTAAAACTTGCTGATGTTATTTGTCCAAATCAAACAGAAGTAATAACATTAAAAAAAAACATTTTTCTTTTGATTTATTTATTTTTTTTATAGGCAGAAATTTTATGTGATATTAATGTTGAAACAATCGATGATGCTAAAAAAGCATGTCAAAAATTACATGAATTAGGTTGTCGTATAGTTATTATTACAATGGGTAGTCAAGGTGCTGTTATTTTGAATGAACAAGGTCAATGTGAACATGTTGAAATTGAAAAATGTTCTTCTGTATGTGATTCTACAGGTGCAGGTGATTCATTTGTTGGTACTTTAGCATTATTAATGGGACGAAAAGAAAAGATGTCATTGAAAGAACAAGTTAAACGTGCTTGTTGTGTTGCCAGTCAATCAGTAGAAAAAAAAGGTACACAAACAAGTTATCCAACAAAAGATGAACTTCGATTTAATTTATTTGAATGAAATTTCAATAACAATGAAAATTAATTTTTTGTTTTTTTGAAGGAAAAAAAAAATTTTTTTAAAGCTTGATTCTTTGCAATAAAATTAATGTTTTTCATATAATGAATCCATTTTTGATTTGTTGATTTTTTTTTTCATTAGCTCAAGCTTTATATGTAATAGGGTGCTAATCAATTTCTTTTTGTTTTTTTAGAAATAAACTTAGATTTATATTTTTAACGAAAATTAGCAGTAGAATGTGATCGCATGAATTAAAATGATGGAAAATTTAATTTACTTATTTTATATATATATATACGAAATTCTCACGTACAGAAAAGAATATGCATGCGAAAGTTGACTTTAAATTGTGGAAACGTAAAATTGTAATCCACTAATTATATTTCACTTTGTTTGTCTTCAAAAGGAATTCGTAGGAACTTTTACTTATTATTTATTTCATTAAATAATATTTTCTTTCAAAATTAGCCGATGAGTTTAGAAAAAAAGGAAGATGATTAGTAAAAATTGCTTAGAAAATAGTACAGATTTGCGCACTATGCAGGATTTTTCAAGATCTTAGATTAATCATTTGGTCCCATTTCACATTTCTATTGTATTTGATTTCTTTTATATCATAAACTTTCGTTGAGTTCCTTTTCTTCTATTCACGATTATATGATCGTTTCCTCTTGTTGCTTGGCAACAATCTCTACAAGTATGACAACTTAAGTCATATTTATTCACTTCTACCAGATATCCAGAGTATTTGATATGACGTAAAGAAACAGTGTCCTTAAGAGCTATATATATTCATATTCTTGGCAAATAAATAAAATAGTATGTCTCTCCTGCGATATGGCAAATGATTCATTGAAAAATATATCTGATAATCATAAAGTAAGATTTTGGATTTTGGTTGTTAGACGTTATTCGAAGGTACACTTAGTAAATAGACAAATGTCATACAAGATTGGTAATATCGGTTTTTGTTTTTCATCATACTTAAGGGATATTTATCTATTTAAGTAGATAGTGACTGTTATTCAAGTTTGAAGTCTCATAACTTTTTTATTTTTTATCATTTTGGGCAAACAAACACTGAAAAGTAATCTGAAGTGTTCTCTATATGTTTATCTAAAAATCTCTAACAGATACCTGTAGAAAATTGTTCATCATCTACTTTTCTAAAAGTCCCACCGTTTGTTAAGGACAGCCTTATACCAGGTTATTATGAACACTTACTGTATAGTATGGGTGTGAGTCCAAATGCATAGAATACCGATATCCACTTTTTTTTTTTTTGAAAATTAAGTATCTCGAAAAGGAATCATCCATTTTGGCTGAAAATTTTGGTGCAGGTTAGAAATCATTAGAGCAGTTGATCGACAAGATTTCAGATCGAAATAGATTCATTTGACTTTGATGTAGATAACATGTGCTAGGCCGAAAATTTGGTGAAACGGATGCAACTTTTACCAACAAGCTATAAGCACGAACACTTTTAGGATTTTCTTAATATAACTGAAACCTACTTGTAGCCAAAAGATGTAGTCAAAAGCTTGGAATCAGCTAAGGTACTTTCCTCGTTAGTATTATTTAGTTTTTCTCATGGAAGAAGTGCAGATATTTATGAAAAGGATGACCTATATTTGAGAGTAATTTCTTTTCAAATAAAATAATGTTTTACATATCTCTGTTGTAAGATAATTTCTCTTCCAGATAGAAAGTAATTACTTAAGATAGATTGTTGTCAAATCAAAAAAAAAAGACAGCTGGTAGCTTAGAAGAATAAATAACGATATTTGAAAATAATTCCACTAAAAATAAGAACGCATAAAAAGTATCAAATCGATTAAGTGTTAACCATAATATTTTCTACTTCGATTAATACCAAACAATTTTTCTGTATTTCGAATAACATCTGATGAAGAATCATCTCAAGACGAGTGTCAATTGGTAACACGACAGTTGCTGTCCAGACAGATGCTTCCGCGACAGTTGCTTCCGGAACAGTTGCGCCCAAGAGACAGTTGTTTTCCGAACACTTGCTTCCGCGACACTTGCTCCCTGGACACTTGCTCCCTGGGCACTTGCCCCTCGGGCACTTGTTCCCGCAACAGGGTTATGGATGTGAGTGTGAGTATGAGTGCGAGTATGGATGTGGGTCCGAATGTGACTGTGAGCGGATATGAGTGTCGGTATGACTGTGGATGTGGGGTGTGGGAGATGCATTGGCTGTGAATGTCCGTCACTTCTTTGTACACTCACATCCACACCCGTGTCGCGGGAGCAAGTGTCCGGGGGGTAACTATTTCGAGAGCAACTGTCTCAGGAACATCTGCCTGGGAAGCAACAGTCGTGTTACGATTTAACCAGTGTACCACCATTGTATACCTTTGTAAATAGTGATGAAGAAGTTTTTACGAATAAGCCTTTCAACATTATTTGAACATTTATTCATAAGATCATATCTGTACTAAATCAATTCATAATACAAATTCTACATGTTTCGTCTGTGACATGGAAAAAAATAGATAACAATAGTGAGTTTCAAGTATTCTACTTAAGAAGTTAAAATAATATTTAGAGATAATTTTCCTATTGGATTTTAACAAAAAGATTGACCTTGAAATAGAAAAGAGAAGACTCTAATTGTGAAAATAGATTATAATTTGGGAAAACAGTATTATATATATATATGTGTGTGACAATTTCAGCTCAACAGATCTAGTTAAAATGAGTTGAAGCAAGTGCTAGTTATTTTGAGCTTAGGTGGAACTGCTAACCAGTTCAATCGAACTTGAACCGTTATAATCCTGATGATGATTCATGTTCATTCTAGTGAGTGTATTAGCATTGACATCCCAAAATAGAATAAATGTTCTGTATCAGAAGTCACTGCTCATAAACAGATCATATCTATGTTTTTTAATGATCATTTTCTACAAACAAGACATTTTTGTTCGGTTTTGAGAACTAATACTAATTAACTCACTAGGATGAACGAGGAGTCTTATTGGAATAATATCAATTCAAGCTCGCATGCGCTGCTTAGAAGTTCCAACTTAATCGGAAAGAGGTATTCATTGGCTCTAGTTCATTTGAACGCGAAGTGATTGTTTTTTTCCAACTCAGCAAATTGGCATAAAGTCATCACATAGATATTCATATGATTGTAAAAGAAATTTCATTTCATTTTGATTTGTTTCAACAAATACATTATAATATTTAAATTCCAAATCAAATATAATTTCCTTAAAAAGATCGAAAAAAAATTGTATTTAATTAATATATAGTTGGACAGTAATGTTGATCTGAATAACGAATACATTAATATGACTATTTGTCTCAAACATATATATACTACCATCAATGGTTAAAAAATCACAAACGAATAAATTGTTTTAAAGAGAAAGAACAAAATAAACATTATTATTTATTTGCAAAAAAACTAGTCGCCTTTCAAGAGTCTAGAAATACAAGAATGAAAATAAGAGAGAAAAGAGAGATGATAAGCAAAGTAAGTAAACACCTGTTAATTACAAAATTATCATCTTTTTATGTTTTCTTCTAAAATCACTACAGATGTCTTGAGATTATGATAATCATCGGACGAAAAAGATTTTATTCCATCTTCATCCGTACTATTTTCTTCCTGATGGACAATATTTTCTGGTCGAGGAGCAGTTATTATTTGATTATTGTCAAACTGTTGGAAAAATTCACGTGTTCGTCTAAACTTTATTCAAAGGCCATTTTCCAACGAGTCATGATTTTAAAAACTATAAAAAAAAGTTCGTTTGTTTCTATATTGTAGCAGCGGTATCATACTATATATTTCCATTAATGTCATTGATATATTGATCAAATAGAATATTTTAATTCATGAAGTAAAGTTTGGATTCATATACTAAAAATAAGTAAAAAGATTTGATCAATTATTAGAATAGCGTAACAGAAAATTATAATTTTAGTCAAAAGAGATCAAGTAATGCCTAGAATACTCACCTCAACATATATGGTTAAGTTATCCTTTTTTTTAATTTATTGTAGTTGAATATTTAACACAATCAAATGAATATTTACAATTTTCTCGACGATACAAATTAATTGTTTCATTCTTTTTTGCAAACATGAATAAAGAAAGTCGGAGAAGCAAAACAGCATTTCTTACTTGATGACTCATCAAAAAAAAAGCATATAAATCACCATTAACTCACTTTTTTAAAATTATAATATCAATGTTGGTTTTAACAAGAGCATCAAGTGATTTTTCTTTTTTTATCGAAAAGCTGTTGAAACAAATTGAAATGCTCAAAAATCCCCTAAATAAAGTTATTCACAATATTTCAATAGAATATTTAAAACAAAAATCAAGCTTACAGCTCTATTTGAACAAGTAAATTTATTTGTATCAATTGATATTCTGAATAAAATATAAAACAAATATTTTCCTAACCTAGAGCAAATATAAAAAATGCTTCGACTGACAACGAACAAGTGTTCATTAGTATAATCAACAACAAATAAAGTTTTCTACCATGAAAAACTAATGATATTAATAATTTAAAAGAAAACAAATATTCATTTTAATATATTTATTACAATGAACAACCAACTTCATTAATTGTTTCATTTGTGAAGATTCTTTTTTTTTGTCCATTTATTGATGTTATAAAATTGATTGAGCTTTCAATCAGCCCGATCAACATCTAAAAATATGAACTTGATTACACATTCATTAATTAAAATAAATTAAACATACATCCTGAATTATGGGTATGGGTATGAAGAAGCATATGAATGGTTTGTACAACAACGTTCAAAAAATATACGAATATCAGGACCAATTTTACTGTATTTGACACGTTCCAGGGCTGAGCTAATGGCAATTAATATGTAAAATGTTCCATCATGTAAAAAGTTGAATATCTCAATCAAACAAAAGTTAATTATGAACTTATTATACATCATTCGACTCGCCATTGGTAGGCCGATATAATGGTATACTTTTCAGA